TTTTATCACAGGTATCACTATAAAGGTTGCTGCTGGGATTGTTTGAGCTCAGAATGCTTGCTGTGCCCCGGAAGATGTGTGATGGAGATCTGACCTTTAGAGACCGGAGAGTGTGTAGCTGGGTCTTCCGGTCCTGGCGCAGACATTCCCATTTGAGATGCAAACTATGCAAATCTGGATACCACCGCCAAGAAGAACCAACTTCCTAATGGCCTATTCTTGATAGCATCTCGTTTCGCACTTGTTGCTGGAAGACTTCTGCAGTATGGCGTTCTGCGCGATACCGTGCTTCCACGGTCCCCTTTTGCGAGGCATGGCCTCGATGCCTCAATCTAGTGCAACACATGTAAATATGTACACGACGCCGTATTTGCATTTCATGCAACGCTCTTTCACAAGAAGCTGACTGTGCGGTTCACTTAAACAGGTGCAAAGAATCGCATATGGCCTTGTTAAATTGCCATCAACATAACATTTGAATTGCACGTGCATGCAGTGACAGATCATCGTACGCATGGATCAATAGATCATTATAGTTTTATCTATCCCTTCACGTCATTGGCAGCCGGTAGTCACCGGTACAGCTTACCCGTCTATCAATGGCTTCGAAATCGAGTCGGTGTACCGTCTGCATTTCTAGTTTGAATTAGTGCTCGATTCTCGTTTGTTGAGTCACTTAGTTTGCTATCATCTTGAGGTCTAATTTAGTGTCAGTCAATTCGTGCTATTTTCGTATTCATTTTGTATTGCTAATTTTAGTCTCTGTTCTGTCTGTTTCCGCTGTGTTTAGTTCTAGGTCTAGTCTGTCCATTTCCGAGGTTTCGTTGTTGCCCTGTCATCGTCCACGAGGAGTTGAGGCGCGGGTGTTGGCGATGGGCGGTCATGAAATATAGTGGAACTGAAACATCGGTGTCTTCAACGTGGCGGCTGTGTACAGAAAGTACAGAGGGCAGCACCATCCTTTGTTACATCTTCCTCCTAATGTGCGGCATTGATATGGGTAGTGACATTTTGCTTCGGGGCCAACTTCGTGGCCAACTTCAGCCGCACCCGAGCGCGTGTTATGCCGCATAGCACATCTCGTTAGGGAAGACCTTACATTGTGAGCTATCGATGCGATGCATGACAACAGTTCATGAACATGTCACCAACAACCCTTAATCTGAACTGAAGTTTCGTACTCCATAGCGTCACAACTACATCACCACGGCGACACGTTTGCTCTGCACCAGGCGGCAACGGCTGGAACGTACCGAAGGTGTCGCCCAAACGACAGCAGAGACGCTTGTGAGGTTTCCGGCACCAGCGGCAGACATCCCTGTTCCATCTTCCGCACGCCTGGCCGAATTTGTAAAATTTTTGACCTGTAGTTCATGAGTTGGTTACTTCCCCATACGACTGAAACCTTCCAGAACTTAAGCGTCCTAGAACTCATGGAGTCACTCAGTACGATACAACTTCTGTTTGCGTGGCGGTCTGAAATGCTGACAATAATGACGCAGATTTGGCATATGAGTATACATTAGTGGTAAAATAACCTTTTGGTTCTCTGGAGCAAAGATTTGACACCATATGATCGTGACTGCTCACAGGGGCGTGATTCTCCTGGGTGCGTTGGGGGGCGAATACCGCCTCGATACCTGATGCACACGCCCGTTGGGGGTCTGAAAGGGATCATCTTGCCTTTTTCACCTTTCAAGGATATGTAGATCAGAGACGTCTGGTTTAATGGCAATAATGATATTAATAATCCAGTTTTTTCCACCATCAGGCTGGTACATGTCTATGCACTTACAGAACAAAAACGCGGCACACTCACAAACATAAAGCAAGACAGAAGGCAACGCAGTCAGTACTTGCCTGAAAGGTCGGAGGACATTATTCTGGGTCATGACCTACTTGGTGCATTTGGTGGCGATCACGGCCAAACCGACCCAGGTGGGCGAAAAGATGTTCCGAACATGTGACCTGCTGACTGCCGGGAGGTTCGATGCCATAAAATTTTATGCATGTCTCACATGCGCACATGTCCTGGCAATGACCCCACTAACTCTTCTTTGCTTACGTGCAGTGCCTCAATAGCGCTGTTCTCAATGGACACGAGTCTTTGGTTGAACTCCAGCTACTAGATAGGTACTAACATGGGACAAGACTTTCCCGTCCCGTTGGTTCAGTAGGTTAGAGCTCTTGCCTTCCGATTCTGCCACCCATGCCAGGATGCGCTCGAGTCGTTTTGAGCGCTCGCTATTTGCGCTTGTCAGGTATTGCCTGCGGCCGGTGGCAGCGGCCGCGGTAAAGGTGAGGTGACGTCAGAGGGCGAGACGGACCGTGCCGAGCATTGCGGCACGTTAAACTTATGCCATGAAATTCTGCCGTTGCCTGGAATCGCGCGATCGGATGGCAGGGGTCAGAGCTCACACAACAAGCACTGCTCAAGGTGAGATCGTTTCCCACATATCCATAGAAGCTGTTTCCAGATATTCATAGGTAGAGGTTCAAGCTCTTTACACAGATAATGAATCCTTGTCCAACGTGGCACCCTTACCAGCCTCTCTTCACATAAGTGGTAGGCCATACAGCGTTCTTGAAATCCTTCCTGTCCACTCACAGTGTTGCACAGTTCACAATATACACGCTAGTATAACATGCTTGGAAGAGTTAGATCACAGTTGTACGCCGTCATACAGGGAGCCTTTAACTCTTCCCATAACTTGACTGCCACTGAGAGAACTGGCCACTACATGGCCTATGTTCAAGCTCCTCCGCTCATCTTATTATGTATTCATTGACAATGATATTTGGGAGCTTGGAGTTAAACAGGTGTGGCACTGTATATGACTTTTGAGAGTTGAAAAACATGCATAGTTTTTTTACATTGATTTGAATATTCCTGCGCATGACAAATACTTAGCAGCTACGAGTCAACGCTTTAAGCCCTTTCCTCGTGATAGATAAAAGCACCCTGTTATCGGCAGAGACTAGTTCATTTGCTGTTCATTTCACCTCATAACAAGTGATTGGTAACATTTGCAACTCACGAAGAAGCTAAACTATGTACACATTGAACAGCAGTGGTGAGACGCTACCCCCTTGACGCATACCATTCAGTACAAAGAAAGGATCCGATACACTGTCTGACCTCTTAACTCCCACCTTGAGGGTTCTTTACCACCCTAGAAAGACTCCTCTTGCTGGCTTCACTTTTGCAGCTTGTTTTGCAACAGTTTTTCATCTTTCAGGGACATTCATAACATCATCGGATCAGGGACCGGGACATTGTCATCTAATTTTCTTGTCGCCAAACGATCCGCTATTCAATTGTCTACAGCTATGCAAAATTTGGCGCCGCTACGCCGCGCCATTCGGAACCATTCGGGAAAAGCTTTCGGGGGTCAATCTGACCTCTCCCACCCGAGCGCGCGTTAAACGACTGATGTATTCAATTATGTGGGCGTTAGCACGGGAATTACATGAAATGTCGTACTATGGCTTTGATTTCTCCCCTGTAGCGTCTAACACAGCGACTCTTTAGAGTGACATCCAGTAGACAAACTTTTACGTTAAATGCTCAGCGTTGCATACTTAGTTATGAATGATGCATAAATTACCCATAATATACTATCAATTTTTACCCTGGAACAATATTGTAGCGTATCTGACCCCAGATTCAGTCTATATTTGGCACCATTCCTGCACTTTACGGACCAATATCTCCCCGAGGAAATCAAAATTCTGGCGAGCTGCATCATCTCGAGGAAACTCATGCTGATGCGAAGGCGATGCTTACAAATATGGCCTACCTTGCCTAGAGTGGAAGCCGTACACGATCAGCAAAACATTTTGTCTATTGGGCTGTCCGTGCGCTTTTTTACAGCAATTTATTGGACCGTCGACCGATGCTCGTTTTGATGGCTGCAGAAACCATATGTGCCATCTTTAGGACGGCAAAATCACGTAGGAAAACTATCTGAGAGAATGTTTCGCTTGAGTAACGGCGTTACATCATGCGTGGGGCGCGCTGCATATCAAATGAAAACACTAATAAACCCAAAAACAAACGATGGAAATGGAATGTGAAAATGATCATCACGCATCCTGTCAAGAGGAAGGTTAAAATAGTTGGAAGAAATGATGGCTATAGGGTGGCCCTTACGTTTTTCTTCGAAGTTGACTCATCTAGTCATCAACCCGTGCTCATTAATCTGGATGAGGAGTCTGATGAAAAAGTGATATTCAGGGAGCAAAATCCTCACCGAAAGCCTTGATAATCAAACTTTTTACTTACCTAACGAGTGGAACATGCCAAGTTGCCTGTCAAACGGGCACTAGTGAACAAAACTGTACAGATGCAAAGAAATGCCCAAATTTTCCAGGCAACAATTAGGGACCATGAAAACTCAAATATTAACGCTTTCCTACGATTTTCTTCAAGGTTGGCTCAAGGATCTGGAGGTCGTGCTCAGAAGGCCAAGGTCCAGACCTGGTAAGCTCAGGAAGCCCAGACACAAAAGGTCGATGTTGAAATATTCGGAGCTAAGGTGGCCTACGTTCAGGTTCGAGCCCTTTCGGCCGATACATGTCAAAGGTCTGGTGCAAGGTCAAATTAAGAGAGTTTGGATTAGAGAAATTAATGCTCAGAATGTCGCGGTTCAGGAGATCGAGGAGCTGGCGATCGCCGCAGAAAACGTCCATGTTCTGAGTTGCAGTTTTCAATGTTTTCCATTTCGACGAATTACATGTATCGAATTCCAAACCTTAAGCGGGAAAGGAGTCTGTGTCTGGACCGTCGATCTATGTGACGCTGATATGGGCATTTTGTCAACCTGAAAATGACCTGCTTTGTACCTGAGGGCGTCGAGAACACGTTTGTCAGATGACCAGGTGTCGTTCGCACTGCCCGCCACAATACCCATGCTTTACGGACCGGCGCCGATGCCTTCTGAGTTGGCAAAACAGATGCTACCAAATAGATGGCTCCGTAATTGTATTCAACGTAGCCCAACTACAAACAGCTAAATGTCCGGCTCGCATAAACGCCTGTTGAGAATTACGTGCGACCTTGCTGTTATGCCACCAGCATAGCATGGGTCTTCCTTGTGCATGCAGTCACTTCACATCTGGTGTCAGTGCAGTCGTTATCCATCCCTTGACAACAGCGGCAGCCGGCAGCAAGTGGTGCAGCTAGCCTTTCCTGCAATGTTTTCCTTTGCAGTATACGCAGCACCATCCTTTGTGACAATCGCCGTTGAGTGTGCTGCAGGTATTTGGGAAACTGCATTTTCTCCCGCAGTCACCTGAAATTAGAGAACGGTCGCTTGCAGGGATTTGTGGATGTTGAATCCTCTGCAGCACGTTGATATAGCTTCGACGAACATAACGTCAGCCAATTGGAATGTAGAAGCGTGCAATTTATGACAACCATCCCATGACTAAAAAATCGCTGCTAACATGAGCAAATGCAATGCTCGAAATGCATATTGCATCTCTAAGAAAACTGAAGAGCGCACTTCATGAGAGAAAGCCTGATGGGCGAGCGATCGACGCCATGTATGACATGAGTTGATAAGTATCTCACAGTCAACCTCCGCTTTAGCTGGGGTTTCGCGTAGCACAAATCCACAGTGGTTCAGAAATGCAACACTATTAGAAATAGTCTTCGCTGAGAGTCACGGCCTGATGTTGGCCTGCAATAGGTCAGTGACCTTGCAAAGTACGCCTAATTCTTGCATAGCAAAAGATCCAGCCTTTAAATGTTTACAGCTATGCAAAGTTCTGTGTGACCACGCCGCGCCGTTCGCAATCCATTTTGAAAAAAAAACATCCGGGGCAACTTCACACACACCCGAGCTTATGTTAGAACTAAACAGCACATCTCGTAAGGGAAGACCTTACTTGTAAGCTATCGATGTGATGCATGACAACAGTTTATGAACATGTTACTAACGACCCCTAGTTTGAGCTGACGTTTCGTAATCCATAGCGTCACACATCACCATGGCGACAACGTCTGCTCATCACCAGGCGACAACGAATGGAACGTACCGTATGTGTCGCCCGGAAGACAGCAGAGACGCTTGTGAGGCCTCCAACACCAGCGGCACACATCCCTGTTCCCTATTCCACACGCCTTGCCGAATTTGCGACACCTTCCACCTGCAATGCACCGGTTGGTTACCTCTGTTTACGGTTGAAGTCTGCCACACTTTTGACGTGCTAGAACTCAAGGAGTCATTTAGCACGATACAATGCTTGTATGCACGACGGTCTGGAGTGCTGACAGTTGAGGTACAGATCTGACATATGGCTGGCGGCCTAATGCGTTGCTGAAGGGAACCAGAAGGCTCTTTTACGGTCAAAGCTTTGGTCCCATACAATCGTGACTGCCCACAGGGAATACATGATTCTCTTGGGTTGGTTGAGGTGTGGTTGCCCACCTAATACCTCACGAACACATCCCTCGGGGATCTGCAATGGATCGTCTTACCTTTTTGCATCTTTTACTGACATTTAGATCAGACACGCCCGGTTTAATAGGAACAATAATATTAAAAATCCGGTTGATTTCGCACCACCCGGTTGGTGCAAATGCCAGGGTGCCGGTAAAATATCTTGGAGTGGTTCAGTCGACCAGGACGACTCTGCTCAATATAGCAGCTACTACTATGAGTAGCAGCTTCGGACGGGTCATTTTAGCAGGTGGATAGTTTGCCAAGATGCGTATTCAGATTACAGTTTGCGAGACAGTTTGCTCCAAAATAGACCTATCATTAGCATACCAGCTTACCTGACATAACATGGCAAACAACGAAAAGTGGACCTAGAAAAGTGAGGCAGTGAGACCTAAAGCTGACAGTTTTTTTTGTGCAGACGCGTACACCATAGCTCTCACAGAAAATATGAAAGCGGGGCAGAAGGCCCACCAGCTATTTTTGGGGACATGCTGTGCCTGCCGCTCCCACCTACCAGTGGTATCTGCGTTGGCAACCATGGAAAGTCGGTGATGAAGGTGGAAATTGGCAGTGCATTATGATGGAATAACTTTCAATGAATTATGCACTTTCATGGTTGTACCACACACCAACACTTGTACTTAGCTGCCCGAAGCACAAATATAATCATTACATAGAGTCCATCCCAAGGGTCCATCACAGCGTGACTTTGAAATCTCCTTACAGAACGTGGACCGAGAGCTCTCCGTGTGGTGCTATGACGCCCCGGCTGACACAATACTTTCAAGGTCTCATCATGGATCTTTTTTCGTCATGTCTGTCAAATACCTCCCTTGCCAAAGAGTCGCGACCAACACAACAGGACTTTGCCGAGAGAAACGCCAGAAACTCACCTTCAGTGGTCACCAACACCAGACAAAGCACGGCAATCAATGGCAGCAGACGCATTGTTGGTGAGAGACGACTCAACAGGATATGCCCATGTTTCCTTTGGTCGCTTTTTATACCGGCAAAAACGGACCATGAAGCGGAAAGAGTGTCAATCATCCCGTCCCCTCCAAAGGTCAACAAACGAGCCTTTCATGTCCGGCGACATTTCCAAGAACAAGGTGATATCATCAGCCATAACCTTTGTTTACGAACGTGCCATTACTGCTTAGTCACACAGGGAACGGCGTAGAGGACAATGCCGACATAGCCCACGCAACACATTCAGAATGTAAGTACATGGGACGTACCGACCGATTGTGATCAAGCGTTGCGTTAGTCACCTCGCTGAATTATGATGTTGAATGGTGTTAATAGTCGAGTTGCCATTTTGATGCTTCCTTGATGACACCCTGCAATGTGCACTACCGCGGACTTTTTCACGGAAATATGTTCCCTGTAGCTTGGAGATCCAAATTGGCTTAGTAACCCCTTGGGTATCTGAGCTTAGCGCAAAACTCAAGACGGTGGCCACCGCCATCTTGAATTTTGTCCAAATTCAACTTTTTTCCTTCTATCGATGGATTAGAAGGTCGTTTTGCACCATTTTTGACAGATTTTCCATGACAGGGAGTCTATTTCTGCACATAGTTTTCACAAATGGGTCAAATTCAAGGTCAAGTCGGCGGTCAAAGGTCAAAGATGTTTACGAATGACGAAAATCCCGATTGATCGATACATGTCGTGCAGTGCCCTCTTGCACTCACTGTAGGTGTGCCACTCACGGAGGCAGCATGTGTTATATACCGTAGTTATATAAACATGTGCTACATACACGACGCATGCACTGTAGAAAACGCTTTCCACCTGACCGCGCACGTGTGGAATGGTTGTCATCCTCGTACTTTTTATATGAGACCCTGCAATGGCAGCTGCCACGAAAGAGTCATGGAAATATTCTTTGTAACCAGTTAAATGTAGTTAGGAGGGCCAAATTTCCTTGTCTTGCTGCTGGCGCATCTTTGCACATTTCTCAGAATTCAGAATGCTAATCCAGTTTCGAACTTTTATGTTGCTGACCAAGACGGTCGTGTGAGACGGTTGTAGAGAGAACTTCGATGGCAACGAGCCCATTTCTGCTGTTGTTTTTTATGCATGACGCAGCATGAGGATCAAATCGAAAATCAAACGTCGAGCTTGATTTGTGTCACTAAAATCACCTCCATTGAGCGATGCCTGCGTTTCCTGTCCCTCTCGTTCTCATTGTAAGGTACCACTCGCAGCAGCTGCATGTGTTTATAAATAGTTAACATATAGAGGATGCGCTAAACACACGCCGCATGTTTTTAGAATATCGTAAGGTATTGGTATATAAGGTATATGAAGGTATATAAAAGAGATGTACCATCGAATGTACTAAAGTGTCCGTTTAGAAACTCGTTGCCGCAATGTGACACACTATGAGTGACACGCTATGACACTCAGAAACTCGTCGCCGTAATGCGTCACGCTATGAGTGACAAGTATGACACTCAAAAACTCGTTGCCGCAGTTCGACACGCTATGAGTGACACGTTATGACACTCCGAAACCCGTCGCCGCATTGTGACACGCTATAACTGACACGCTGTGATACTCAGAAACTCGTCGCCGCAATGTGACACACTATGAGTGACACGCTATGACACTCAGAAACTCGTCGCCGCAATGCGACACGCTATGAGTGACACACTATTACACTCAGAAACTCGTTGTCGCTATTCGACACGCTATGAGGGACACGCTATGACTCTCGGAAACTCGTCGCCGCAATTCGGTACGCTATGAGTGACACGCTATGACACTCAGAAACTCATCGCCGCAATGTGACACACTATGAGTGACACGCTATCACACTCAGAAACTTGTAGCCGCAGTGCGACACGCTATGAGTGACACGCTATGACACTCAGAAACTCGTCGCCGCAGTACGACACACTATGAATGAGACACATCTGTTCAAAGGTGCGATAAATTCGCTCACGAATCACACTACTGTAGCTTTATATCCAGGAGAAAAAAGGATTAAACAAATTAGCAAATTATGCAATTGACAAGGAATGAACAAATTTAACAAATGCAAACAAAACAAATTATGCTATTGTAACTTAATTTCGAGGAGAACACACGATGACACAAGGAAATATTGGTAGGCTCATAATGTGATTCCCCAAAAGCTGCCAAAACCCAATGAAAGGGATTTTGACTTGAAAGGAGACTGTCTGTTATCTAGAAAATAGTGCTAGCCGAAAAACAGTGGTATCCACGCAGATTGGTACAGTGTAAAGCCGTAGATAAACCTTGTACAAACACCGCCAATGGGGATCCTCGGGGGCTAAAGTGACGGCGATTACGCTTCTGCATCCTACTGATGCTCAATGTCACGAACCCTGTTACGATCGTTTCTGTGACGTTCCCGTGTACCGTCTCTCTACCAAGAACTCTATCCATGTCCTCCCCGTCCAGTGCCCTCAGGCTGACTCCATGTGGTCGCTCAGCTCCTGGTGTGGCTTGTTGCCATGCAGTATCCACGCAGCTGCACAGCGACAATGAGGCGGTATGCTCTCAGGGCGTCGGTCCAGACCTTCCGCTTGTGCTGCTGGTGATGCCGCCACTAAACGCTGCGCTCATGGTTACGTCGTCCGACATATCCCTCATCAGTGTCCTTACAAAGCACCGTTCACGACAGATACCCTCATCAGTGTCCTTACACAGCCCCGTTCACGACAGGTCTCCTCATCAGTGTCCTTACACAGCCCCGTTCATGACAGGTACCCTCATTAGTGTCCTTACACAGCCCAGGACACTCACGGGGGTGTGCATCATATCCGTGTGAAGTATGCCCATGCAGCATGAGTGTGCGTCATGCCCGCGTGAGTGACCTATGAAAATGGTCCGACGCTATGCGACGTTGGATTAGACTAGGCACGTAGTATGATCCCGAAAGCATTGAGAGTCCTGTGTATGATATGCATCATCACTTCAGAAATCGGCGTTTTTAGCACGTTATGTTACTGACCATTTGTTCAAGTCATTTCAGGTAATTTGAAAAAGTGATGTAAACAGGTTCAAAGTGGTAAGGAAGAGGAAGGAATCTGATTTCGCAGTTTCGCTCTCGTGATCATTGCTCTCGCTCCCGCGTGATCGATCCAGACGGCGGCCTCCATTTTGTTTAGGAGATTCAGACTCTGAATCTGCACCTGTGGTTCGGCACAACTATGTGCTCTG